AGCCTGCAGCCTTTTCAAAGCATTTCGAACCTTCCCCAGTTTTGCTGGCTACTTTCTCTTCATGCTTTCCTTTCGTTAGCCGGTTCTGTCTCCCTTCGATGTCCCATTTGCATCGGTTAACGGTTGCAGGATAGGGGTTTGAGCTAGTCTAGAGAGAAGAAGGACGAGGTGGGGGGACATCTTCCAGTATTTAAGGGGCTGCCACGAAGAGGAGGGGGTCAGCTTATTTTCCAAACCATCAGAATGCAAGACAAGAAACAATGGATGGGAACCAGTGCTGAAATTCAAATTTTTTATACCACCGGCGCTGTGGGTGTGGCTTGGTGGGCGTGGTGTGGTGTGGTGTGGTGTGGTGTGATGTGGCTTGGTGGGCGTAGCTTGGTGGGCACGGCAGGGGAAGGATACTGCAAAATCTCCATTTCCACCCCACTCCTGGGGGAAAGATACTGCAATTTATTTATTTTTTTTAATTTGATTTATATGCCGCCCTTCTCCGGAGACTCAGGGCGGCTTACAATGCGTTAAGCAATAGCCTTCATCCTTTTGTATATTTTACAAAGTCATCTTATTGCCCCCACAATCTGGGTCCTCAATTTACCTACCTTAGAAAGGATGGAAGGCTGAGTCAACCTTGAGCCTGGCGGGATTCGAACTTACTAATTGCAGACAGCTGGAGTTAAATTAAGGAAAGGAGCCTTGGTGGCGCAGCGGACTAAAGTGCTGTTAAGTAGCACTTAGCTGCCAGCTGCCTGCAATTACTGCGAGTTCAAATCTCACCAGGCTCAAGGTTGACTCAGCCTTCCATCCTTTCGAGGTAGGTAAAATGAGGACCCGGATTGTGGGGGGCAATAAGCTGACTTTGTATAAAAAGAAACACCGCTTAGGGGGAGCCGAAAGCCCTACTAAGCAGGTATATACAAAAGTATGAAGGCTATTGCTTAACGCATTGTAAGCCGCCCTGAGTCTCCGGAGAAGGGCGGCATATAAATCAAATTAAAAAAAAAATATCTCCATTTCCACCCCACTCCTGGGGGAAAGATACTGCAATTTATTTATTTTGTTTAATTTGATTTATATGCCGCCCTTCTCCGGAGACTCAGGGCGGCTTACAATGCGTTAAGCAATAGCCTTCATACTTTTTGTATATTTATACAAAGTCAGCTTATTGCCCCCACAATCTGGGTCCTCAATTTACCTACCTTAGAAAGGATGGAAGGCTGAGTTGACCTTGAGCCTGGCAAGATTTGAACTTACTAATTGCAGACAGCTGGAGTTAAATTACAATGCCCATTCCCTTCCCACTCCAGGGAAGGATACTGCAAAATCACCATTTCCACCCTACTCCAGGGGAAGGATACCGCAAAATCTCCATTTCCACCCTACTCCAGGGGAAGGATACTGCAAAATCTCCATTCCGCCCCACTCGGGGGCCAGACAGAGGTGGTATTTGCTGGTTCTGTGAACTACTCAAAATTTCCGATACCAGTTATTCTCCAAAGCGCCAGAAGGCAAGACAAGAAATGATGGATGGAAACTAAATCAAGGAGAGAAGCAACTTGGAATTAAGGAGAAACTTCCTAACAGTGAGGACAATTAACCAGTGGAACTCCTTGCCTCCAGAAGTTGTGGGTGCTCCATCCCTGGAGGTTTTTAAGAAGACTGGATAGTCAGTTGTCTGAAATGGTATAGAGTCTCCTGCTTGGACTAGAAGACCTTCAAGATCTCTTCTGGCTCTATTCTGATTGATTGATTGATTGATTGTTTGTTTTAATCCTCTCTCTCTCTCTCTCTCTCTCTCTCTCTCTCCCTCCCTCCCTCTCTCTCTCTCTCTCTCTCTCTTTATCTTTTCTTTTTCACACTCTGCCCAGTGTTATGTTTCAGTTTGGGATGTTACAAATGGAGTAGAAAATTAAGCTGAAACATGCAACGGAATTCTTTTGTTTTCAGGTTGTTACCGAATACGAAGAGCCGGTCATCATGAGATTCGGACACATACGGAAAAATGTCTCAAGGGGGGCAGGTGAGTAGTTCATCTGAAGCTTTGGGGTGCATTGAGCTAAATTCTCACAATTACAGGTCATCCTCGACTTAACGACCATCATCGAGCCCAACATTTCTGTCAGTAAGCAAGAAAGTTGGTAAGTGAATTTTGAGCCATTCTACGACCTTTCCAGCCACCGTTGTTAAGTGAGTCACTGCCATTGTTAAATGAGTAAATACAGTTGTTAAGCGAATCTGGCTTCCCAGTTGATTTTGCTTGTCAGAAGGTCACAAAAAGGGGATTCCATGATCCCGGTCACACACTGCAGCCGTCATAACTATGAGTCAGTTGCCAAACATCTGAAAATTTTGATCACGTGACCACAGGGAATTCTCAATGGTCGTAAGTGTGAAAAATGGTTATAAGTCACAGTGCCATTGTAATTCAAACAGTCATTAAATGAACTGTTGTACTATCTATAATCCTTCCCATTTTCTGGTGAATGGTCTGGATATTTTAATTTTTTTTTAAGCAATCTCTCTCTCTCTTTTTTTTTTATATTATTTTTTCTGAGGGTGGGTAAAACTGTTGAGGTTGTTTGCACACCAGTTCTCCCTTCTTCTCTAGCAACATTTCACGATTTTGGTGACTTTAAAATATGTGGACTTCAAAGATAGATAGATTAGATAGATAGATAGATATAGAGAAGATACAATAGATAGATAGATAGATAGATAGATAGATAGATAGATAGATAGATAGATAGATATAGATAGATAGATATAGAGAAGATACAATAGATAGATAGATATAGAGAAGATACGATAGATAGATAGATAGATAGATAGATAGATAGATAGATAGATGATATAGATAGATGATATAGATAGATGATATAGATAGATGATAGATAGATAGATAGATATAGAGAAGATACGATAGATAGATAGATAGATAGATAGATAGATAGATAGATGATATAGATAGATGATATAGATAGATGATATAGATAGATGATATAGATAGATGATAGATAGATAGATAGATATAGAGAAGATACGATAGATAGATAGATAGATAGATAGATAGATAAAGATAGATGATATAGATAGATGATAGATAGGATAGATATAGAGAAGATACGATAGATAGATAGATAGATAGATAGATGATAAATGATAGATAAGATAGATGATATAGATAGATAGATAGATGATAAATGATAGATAAGATAGATGATATAGATAGATGATAGATAGATATAGAGTAGATATAGATGATAGATAAATATAGAGAAGATACAGTAGATAGATGATAAATGATAGCTAAGATAGATGATAGATAATAGATGATAGATGATAGACAGATGATAGATGATAGATAGATAGATAGAGTAGATATAGATGATAGATATAGAGAAGATACAGTAGATAGATAGATGATATAGATAGATGATAGATGATAGATGTTAGATAGATAGATAGATAGATAGATAGATAGATAGATAGATGATATAGATGATAGATAGAGTAGATAGAGATGATAGATATAGAGAAGATACAGTAGATAGAGATGATAGATAGATGATATAGATAGATGATAGATGATAGATAGATAGATAGATAGATAGATAGATAGATAGATAGATAGATAGATAGGACGGTCAGCCTAGGGAATTCTGGGAGTTGGTCCACCTACCTTAAAGTTGCTAAGGTTGACAAACAGGACCCTAGTAGAGAACCTAAAGGTTGCTCACCTTTTCCAATGTGCAAAGTCCCAGTTGATGGCTTCTCTTGGGGGTTAACGAAAAAGATGAGGCTCCCGAGATGTTTTTTCTTCACTGTCTGGTTGATTTGTTTTGTGGGGGGGTTGAGGTGGAGGCTGAGATTTTTATTTTGATGGCGATGTCATTTCTTTTCCCAAAGGTGTTTATTTCATTCTGCCCTGCACAGACACTCTTACCAAAGTCGACATGAGGACAAAAGCCCTTGAATTGCCCTTCCAGGAAGTGAGTGTTTTTTCTTTCATTCTTTGGTTGGGAGCATCACATATTATACTGTCTGCCTATCTATCATCTATCTATCCATCTTTCTGTCTGTCCGTTTATCTATGTCTTCTATCATCTACCATCTCTATTTATCTTTCTATATGTATCTCATCTATCTATCATTCTTTCCATCTGTCTGTCTCTCTCTGTCTCTCTCCTTCTCTCTCTATCATCTATCTTTCTGTCTGTCTACAGTGTTTCCCCGAAAATAAGACCCTGTCTTATATTTTTTTGAACCCTGAAATAAACTCTTGGCCTTATTGCCATGCGCTCAAAAGCCTGATTGGGCTTATTATCAGGGGATGTCTTATTTCGGGGGAAACAGAGTATCTCTCTGTCTGTCTGTCTGTCTGTGTCTGTCTGTCTGTCTGTCTGTCTGCCTGCCTGCCTGCCTGCCTGCCTGCCTCCCTGCCTATCTATCTATCTATCTATCTATCTATCTATCTATCTATCTATCTATCATCTATCTACAGTATCTACCTACCTACCTACCAGTAACTCTATCTACCAGTATCTCTCTCCCTCACCCACCCACCCACCCATCCATCTATCTATCTATATTTATCTACTTACCTACCTACAGTATCTCTCTCTATCAGTATCTCTCTCTTGCTACCTACCAGTCTCTCTCTCTCTCTCTCTCTCATCTCTCATCTATCTATCTATCTATCTATCTATCTATCTATCTATCTATCTATCCCTACCTTCTCTGCAATCTATGTATTCCTTATTTTTTCCCAATGGGCTGCTAAATCTGTCTTTGCCTTTAGTTCCAAAAACGTCTCTGGTCTACATATATAGGAGAAGGAGAGCTCAAAATCAGAAGGCATCTGGTTGCATTTTTTTCCCCCAATGAACAAATTGTATTAAAAGGTGCCGTCTTTATGAGGCATGTCTCATCCTCCCTTCTGTTCTTTGCTTTTTGGGGAAAAAGTTGCTTAAATTGCCTACATACGATTAAAAAAACTAATCCGTCCGTTTCCGTCTTTAACCCTGGGAAATGCCTCTCGTGCCGCTCAGGGAGCTTCAACCTGACCATCCTTTCGTTTAAAAGTTGCTCGAGATTTGTATACTACAATTGTATACACAATTGGTGGCGGTTTGATTTGAAACCCCCTGGCTTTGAATTGCTGCGTTATTTTATCGCTCTGTGCGATCCAATAATTTGTGAAGTGGCTGAGAATTGGGCGGCGCAGATATTAACAATAGATTTTCCACTGTGGTGCGGATGGAGCAGCAGTCAAATCCTACAAAATTGCACACACACACAAAGCGCTAAGTCCTCCGAACCGGTATTTCTGACGATCAGCTGTGCCGCACAATTTGGCATGCATGCGCAGGCAGCAAACCGGTGGCAAGCCAGGGGAAGTTTTCACCACTGGGATGGAGGTTTTATAGGCTCCTGTAGTCAGTGTGGCAAAGTAAATGAAAACCGAATTACTGTATTCAGTCTTGAGTTTCTTCCAGATTCACTGCTTGTCCCTTCGCATAAGAGACAATAATTGTTCTTTTAGAGCTGATTCAAGATTTAACTGGCCGGAAATCTAATAACTGTTAAACAGATTACGTTTGCTGCTCCAGCTGACTCGAGTTTAACTGTCTGGAAATCTAATAACCCTTAAGCAGATTACGTTTGCTGCTGCTGAGTTTCTCCCTCTCGTCGTTTCTTCCTTTCTGCTTTTGGTCTTTTTTTGGGGGGGGGGGGGGGGTTCGGTGATATTTCCATCTCCTTTTTATAAACGGAAGGCCATCCTTTTGCAAGCCGCGTTTAAGGCTGATCTTTAGAAATTTTTTGGGAGCACGGTTGAACTTTCTTGGAAAGCATGACAAAGGCAGAATCCATGCATCGGGTTAAATACATCATTGATGTGGGATTCAGCCTGTTAGGATATGGTTTGAGCCTAACTATGTTGTACAGGCAATATAAGTGTACTGTAACTTTAAGCTGTAACTGTATTATGTGGCTTTAATGCTGAGTCATGCTGTAATTACATAATTACTGGTTGTGAGAATATTTAAGCAAAGCTTCTGTAACGTGTTCAGTTGGTGCTATGATCTGCTGTTGATGAGGAAGCTGCAATGCTATGCTGCCGTTGTGTATGAAGATAATGAGATGATGAAGCTGTGATGATAAGCTACCATTGAGAGGAGTTGCTATCTGTAATCATTGTTGGATGGATCTGCCACCATCGTGGTTTGTGAACCAGAGTGAGTTTGTTATTCTAACCAACTACTGTTTGTTGAGTAAGAAGATTCTGTAACTACTGGACTGATTTACTGGCAAAGACTTGGAATTTGTTTAAAGACTATGAGACTGTTTTTCCACTATAAAGTAAGCTTTTGATAAACCAGTTTGCATATCTCTTATTCATTGCTCTCAGCAACGTTTCTCTGTGCAATCTACTCTGCTGGTTGGTAACACAACAACAATAACCTTAACACAGCCGGTGCACCAACCCGCCCTGGTGCTATGCCATCCTATTTAGCTAAGGGGTTTTTTTGCCACACGCATGCATGCAAGTACGCGCACTCACATTTTTGGTTCTGGGGCGAACCGGTTGTTAAATCTGGTTGTGCGGTTTATTTGGTTTGGGTTTAGCGCGGTGCATGATATTGGCCGGTCTGATTTCTAAACCAAGACAGTAACAGAGTTTAAAAATTATTCTAAATTTAGGTGCGTCTTATACTCCAAAAAATACGGTACTCACAAATCATCTCACAACAAGGAGATGGTTTGTGAATAATTAAGCTGATTCAATAACAGCGATCTTCCCTCCCCCCATTTTGGTCTCTCCTGCAGATTTTTACGAAAGACCCCCTAGTTATTGATGTCGATGGAGTGGTCTATTACCGAGTCCAAGATGCCTTTCTTGCCGTAACCAAGGTCTCCGATGCGGATGTGGCTACCAACCTTCTAGCCAAAGCCATAATGAAAAATACGCTGGGGACCCAAACCCTTTCCCACCTCATCTCTGACCGGGAAAAAGTTGCCAAAGAGATCCAGGTACACCTGCCAAACCTAAAGATCTAAGAACAACATGGTGGAGTTACGTCGGTGTAGTTTCTGGATTGCTGTTGGCCGACGGACAGAATCTTGCCATCAGTGTAACTATAGACATATTCTGTGAACCGCTAAGGAGGGCCCGTCTTTGCCCTCTTCCTGGCCACAAGACATTCCAAGCTCCTCTTTCTCTTTAGTTTGTGGGAAAGAGCACCTCTTTTCTGCGACTCCAGAGTATATCTATGGAGTATATACTAAAAGAGCCTTGGTAGTACAGTGGTCTAAAGCACCCTGTTATTAAGACCAGCTGCCTGCAGTTACTGCAGGTTCGAATCTCGCCAAGGCTCAAGGTTGACTCAGCCTTCCATCCTTTCTAAGGTAGGTAAATTGAGGACGCAGTTGTGGGGGCAATAAGATGACTTTGTATAAATATACAAAAGGATGAAGGCTATTGCTTAGCACATTGTAAGCCGCCCTGAGTCTCCGGAGAAGGGAGGCATATAAATCAAATTAAAGAAAGAAAGAAAGAAAAAAAGAAAGATTCTCAGTCATTCAGGTCATGGTTGTCTCAAAGGTGGTTTTTTTCCAAGAGGCAACTGGACTTGTTTTTCCTTGAAGGCGTTTCCCTTCTCAATCCAAGAAGCTTCTTGTTGTGATCCGCCAGCAGCCAGCAGAGCCGGCAGCAGATTCGGACAGCGAGGAGGTTGGGGAGGAACATGGGCCAATCCTGGAGTCTTGGGAAGGCTCTGATGAGGGCTCTGCATCGGAGGCAGAGAGGGGGCCAGGGCCGTATGCCAGCTATCAGCTGCCTTCAGAGTCAGACATCAGTGAGGCAGACGAGCAGCTGGAGCCTGTTCCCAGGGTGCGTATGTGCAGAGCTACCAGACGAAGGGAACAGCTGAGGAACAAGGGTCGACTCAGGAGTAAAGCCACTGGTTCATTGTCCTCACTGTTAGGAAGTTTTCTCCTTAGTTCTAGGTTGCTTCTCTCCTGGATGAGTCCATCCATTGCTTCTTGTTCTACCCTCAGGTGCTTTGGAGAACAGTTTGACCTCCTCTTCTTTCGGGCAGCACCTTAGATATTGGAAGACCCCTGGTCCACATTTCTCTGTACTGTTTTTCACCAGGTCCTGCTGGGCAACATCACAGCTGACTGGGGAGTCACAATAGAACACGTGGAGATCAAGAACGTGAAGACACGAGTAAATGTAAGAGGGTCAGTGTGCAAATATTGGATTTATTCTTTACTCTTAACCCGTAATTGCTCTTGGTTTGGCTTCTATCCTCCCCACCTGTGGGGATTTCGGTCTCAATATGCTGGGCAGATCTAGTCAGTTGTTAACTTAGCTAAGTACAGGGAGGGAGGGTTGTTTCCTCACTTAGTGACCATTCCAGTTACCACGGCCATGGAAAAGTGACTTTGCCACCTATCCTCACCTTGATGACCTTCACGGGTCTGTAAAACAAAGGAAAGCTGCAATAAAATCACACACAAAAAAAGTTGTGGTTTCATTTAGCAACCACTTGACAATAAGAGTTGCTAAGGGTCACCATTGCGGTGGTGAGAAGAGGAGGAGGAGGAGGAGGAGGATGGCAAGTAGTCCTTGACTTACGGCTGCAATAGAGCCCCAAATTTCTGTTGTGAAATGAGGCAGTTCAGTGAATTTCGCCCCGTTTTATGACTTTTCTTGCCACCGTTCTCAAGTGAATCACCGCAGTTGTTAAGTTAGGGAGCCCGGTTGTTAAGTGAACCCAGCTTCCTTCTGACTTTGCTCGTCAGAAGGTCGCAAAGTACCCTGCCGTCGACATATGTGGGAGTCACTTGCCAAGCATCTGAATGTGAAAAATGGTCGTAGATCACTTTTTTTCAGTACCGTTGTTAACTTCGGTTCACTAAATGAACTGTTGTAAGTCGAGGGCTACCTGTATCTGCACATCAGGCCTATGTTTTGGTCAGCTGCCTTACAACGAGCTTGGATGAGCTGCAGAATGGACTCCTGAACCCTACAGGCAGCTGATCCCTGCCAAAGGTGATATGTAACAGGTAATTTGCTACATACAAGTTAAAGACCTTTTGTTACCTACCTGTAGGGAGTGACACCGATTTTTAACAGATTTACAGAGTTGGAAGAGACCTTGTAGGTCATCTAGTCCAACTCCCCTACCCTACCCAAGCAGGAGACCCTACACCATTTCTGACAGATGGCAGTCCAGTCTCTTCTTGAAAGCCTCCAGGGATGAAGCTCCCACAACTTCCGAAGGCAACTTCAGTTCCATGGCTTGATTGTTCTCACTGTCAGAAAGTTCCTCCTCATTTCTAGGTTGAATCTCTCCTTGATCCGTTTCCATCCATTGTTCCTTGTCTGGCCTTCAGCTGCTTTGGAATATATGTTGACCTCCTCCTCTCTGTGGCAGCCCTTCAAATATTGGAAGACTGCTATCCTGTCTCCCCTGGTCCTTCTCTTCACTAGGCTAGCCATGCCCAGTTCCTGCAACCGTTCTTTGTATGTTCTAGATTGGTGGAGCCCATCTCTAGAGACCTTTGCGTCTTCTGCATCTTGAGCCTGCATAGCAGAGTGTTATATCTTTAGGTGGACCCCTCGTTCACACAAACGAACCATTCCTGGTCCGGTTTCACCCCGTTCCAGATGTTGCTTATCCTAAGACATAAAATAAGTACCTTCTGCAGCTTTGGGAATCGCAGAAGCGAAAGGCCAGGTAAAGCTAGTGGTTTGGAACATTGCAAGGGCTTTCCAGATGCCTCTTTAAGAACCTGTGGGCCCCCTTCCTTCCTTCTAGGTTGTCTCCCCAGGGAATGTGACGCCACAACCGAGGCCAGTGAAAGAAGCTTCCATCTTCCTTCAAGACTCTCCTGTCTCCATCCAATTCCGTTGCCTGAAGGCAGACGGCGCCCATCCTAGCCCACACACCTCCACTATCATCTTTACTTAACCCAGTTCTGCAGAGAAGGATTGAGAAGGAAGCCCATTAAGAGAAGCCGTATCTCCAGAACGTGGGCTACTACGGGAAGAAATCAGGGTCCTTCAAACTCTGAAGGCCACCTTAGAAGATGTAGGGGTAGATGTATTTGTTGGTTTTTAACGTTTGATGTTGTTGCTATGGTTCTCCCACCCCCACAACCCCAATAAAATTTAAAGGAAGAGATTTATCTTGGCAGATGGTCCTCTGTGGTGGTTGAGTTCAGAAGTGATGGACGCTTGTTAGCAAAAAGATTGGTGCAAGAGCCATGGTTTCTTCATGGTTTGGTGAATAGAATATGTGGAGGGGGGGGTTGTGGACGCTTTTCTTTTGGCACGCCACGACAAAAAGGTTAGCCATCACCGGACTACACAATAACTCAATTCCTATAACCCAGTGATGGCGAACCTTTTCTCCACTGAGTGCCCAAACTGCACGCGTGTGCATGCCCAAACTGAAAGGTGCACGCATGTGAGTGCGCACATGCACGAACATGCAAACTCGGGCATGAGTGGTCATGTGTGCATGCACAGCAGAGACCCGAAGGCCAGCTGGCCAGCGGGAGGCGAGGCATCCCAACACCGGCAGCGCAGCAAGAGGTAAGATCTTTTTTTCCCCATGAGCTTGTTTCTCTGCAAACAACGAAACAGAAAGAAAGAAAGAAAGAAAGAAAGAAAGAAAGAAAGAAAGAAAGAAAGAAAAAGAAAAGAGAAAAGAAAAGCTCATGAAAGAAAAGTCGAGGTGGCGCAGTAGTTAGAGTACAGTACTGCAGCTACTTCAGCTGACTGCTAGTTCAGCAGATCAGCGGATCAAATCTCACCGGCTCAAGGTTGACTCAGCCTTCCATCCTTCCGAGGTGGGTAAAATGAGGACCCAGATTGTTGGGGGAAATATGCTATTTAGTATACTGTCTATGGTGTAAGTCGCCCAGAGTCCTTGGAGAGCCGCGGGATAGAAATATGAATAATAAAAAAATAAAAAAAATAAAAAAGCCACAGAGATCTGACCTGGGGTGACGGCACACATGCCAGCAGAGAGGGCTCTCCGTGCCACCTCTGGCATGTGTGCCATAGGTTCTCCATCACAGCTATAACCATTCATCATCATCATCTTTTAACAACCTTATAATCCCTTGCGGGGTGGAGTCTGGGCAACTGAATGGAGCTGAGTGTTTTACTGGCCGGATGCCTTTCCTGTCGCCAATGCGGAGTTTTGTTCAGCAGATATATTCTCATTGTGCCCAGAGAGAGAGAAATATCTGCCTCTACCTAGGATCGAACTCACAGCCTCCTGATTGTGAGGCGAGAGCTCCACCTCTAGGCCACTCTAGCACCACTCCCAATTCCTATAACCATTCTTCGTATGATTAGGGGGCTGGAGGCTAAAACATATGAAGAACGGTTACTTCTCTTCCAACATGCCCCAAAACTGGCAAAGCTTTTACTGATTCTATACAAGCTTTATTAAAGGCAGTTTTCTTTCAAAGCAGCAGCAAGGGGGTCAAAACGATACAGTTCGTGGACAGGTCTCAGCTACTGATCAGCTTCTTGAGCTAATTTTTTTAAATTTTTATTTTAAAAGAAAAAAGTGCCTCTAGGAGATGGAAGGAGGCCTCGGAAGGCCACATACTTTCCTCCTTCCAACTGATAAAAAAAAAAGGAGAGATTTCTGTCTTCACACAGCCAGCTCCGCCAAAGCCCTCTCTAAAGGATCCACGTTCCAATAGTCGTCCTCCCAGCCCAGGAACCAGCCGGTGAAGGTCGGCGGTTCGAATCCTTGTCGGATGAGGGTGATGGGTGTCCGGCGATCGCGATTGGCCGGGTCGGTCTCAATGTACCTCCGTGCTGTAAAAGATGCCACCAGGAGAAAACAGCATAGAAATAATCAGCGTCAAATGTTTGTGTTGTGGCCCGCCAGCAGCCAGCAGAGCCGATGGCAGACTCAAGACAGTGAGGAGATTGGGGAGGAATATGGGCCAGTCCTGGAGTCTGGGGAGGGCTCTGATGAGGGCTCTGCATCAGAGGCAGAGATGGGGTCAGGGCCGTCTGACAGTTGTCAGCTGCCTTCGGAGTCGGACATCAGTGGGGCAGAAGAACAGCTGGATCCTGCTCCCAGTGTGCACATTCACAGAGCTGGCAGGAGAAGGGAACTAAAGAACAAGGGTCGACTCAGGAGTAAAGCCACAGGTGGATGGTGAATGGCCCCTCCCAGAGGGAATAAAGAGGAGCAAAAGGGGAGTGGAGTTTGCAGGAGAAAATTAGTTTGCTTAATTGGTTCATGACTCTCAGAGAGTCCTTGCCAAGTTTTGAAGATATCGGCCTGGCAGCTCTCCAAGCCAGATAAGGTCTGTGAGTGTAAATTCTCCGTGGAAAGACTTTTGCTGGATGTGAATGAGAAGAATTCACAGTAACTTAATAAAAAGGGGGTTCTGTCGGGACAAGGAGTCTGCTTCATGCTCTTGGGAACGCCTCGGTCAGAACAGTTTGAGATGTTGACCTGCCAACAAAGAGTTGGACGATGTAAGGATTGAGGTGCGACCAACTAACCTGATGTTTGAGATTCTGTCTTCTCCTCTTCTTGGGCGTCTTTTCCAACCCACACAAAGACCTTTGAAGAAAAAGCCAAATTAACTTCCTTACTATACATGCTATGGCCACCAGGGATGGTCAATTCTTCATCTCCATCTTATTCTGCCCATTGAGGTAGGTAGGTGATGGGAAGGGTTCCACAAAAGAGGGCTGGGTATCACTTTCAGGACCTTGGAGTCCCCCAAATACTTTTGTTCGAAAAAGACTGATTTAATTTAGTAAACTAAGTTTTGTACAGACTTTGTGTGTGCTGCGATCTTTGGGTCTGTAGCTGGGGCAGAACATTCCCAGAATTTCTCAACCAGCTGTGCTGTGTGGGGAATTCTGGGAGTTGAAGTCCACCCATCTTCTAGTCACCAAGGTTGAAAAACACTGGTCTAGACAATACATTTGGGCCTATTTATTGTGCCATTGTTGAACTTTGTAATGATTATTTTATGAGTTTTAGAGATGCACCTGTAATTATTTTAAAAAACAACAACTGATCAATTGTATGCTTAAAAAATAGAAATAGATGTTGATTTGCTGTTGGGTTACCGAGATTTTAAATTTTTGAAAACAAATGTTTAATGAAAACGATATTCGTTTTTCTCTGATTTCGGTTTTGACATTTTACAGATCTAGAAAAGAGGTTAAATATATTTTCTGAGGGCTAACACCACCTTAAGAAAGGCAAGAAAACTTGGCCAAGGCAACATTAAAGATAAAGGTAAAGGTTCCCCTCGCACATATGTGCTAGTCGTTCCCGACTCTAGGGGGCGGTGCTCATCTCTGTTTCAAAGCTGAAGAGCCAGCGCTGTCCGAAGACATTTCCATGGTCATGGGGCCGGCATGATTCAACGCCAAAGGCGCACAGAACGTTGTTCCCTTCCCACCAAAGGTGGTCCCTATTTTTCTACTGGCATTTTTTACGTGCTTTCGAACTGCTAGGTTGGCAGAAGCTGGGACAAGGAACGGGAGCTCACCCTATTCCGCAGCACTAGGGATTCGAACTGCTGAACTGCCGACCTTTCGATTGACAAGCTCAGCGTCTTAGCCACTGAGGCACCGCGTCCCTTTTAAGGGTTAGGGCTAGGGCAACATTATGGCCCTTTAATAATACTTTTGCTATAGATGCTTTCATGGTGCAGAGCAGAACAAAATTCCATTTATTAATGAGTAGGGTACTTACCTGATCCCAGGTATCTAAAAGCATGACGTCATCTGTTGCCAAGTCATCTTGAGTCAACTCCCCAGGTACTTCTTCAATCTAAGAAGTTTGAAATGGAAAATGTATTTATGTAACAATAAGATTCAGGGATTTCGTTTTCCAGCGTGAACCTGACAGGTGATCCCAAGAGAAGAAACTTCCCAAGTGAATCCAGAACGTTGAAAATCATCAACCATCTCTGAATTCCCAAGTGGCTTTAAATTTATTGACTTATATTGGTTATTTTCAATCTATTGGCCACCTCACTCCGGGGGACGCTGGATGGTAAATCCCCATCCTGTTCAACATTTAGTCTTCTTTAATGATCCAGTGCTTCTGAGATAGGTAACTCCAGTATTTAAAGACTGATTTTTTTTCCCTTAAATTTTGGAACTTAATACCCAGCTATCAAGACTAGGAACCTTAAGTAGTCTTCTCAGTGGTGAAATTCAAAATTTTTCCCTACCGATTCTGTGGGTGTGGCTTGGTGGCTATGTGACTGGGTGGGCATGGCTTGGTGGGAAAACCAACTATCACACTTTACACAAAAATAAACACAAAAGCTACACAACTGACTTACACACAATGCAAAAGCAGCTGGATTTCATACAAAATGGCCCCTGCAACAAGCCGGAACCACACAGAATCACATGGAGCTCAAAAACAAACTATCACACTTTACACAAAAATACAGTTTTGGGCAATAGGTAGTAAAAAAAATGCTTTAAAAAGTAAGAAAAAAGTTCCAACGATCGTGCGGCACAGCTGATTGTCACAGCTGATCTTTGGAACCTTTTTTTTTCTTTTTTTTTACTTTTTTAAAGCAGTTTTTTACTACCGGTTCGGGTGAACCAGTAGCATTTTAACTACCGGTTCGGGCAAACCGGCCCGAACCGGTAGCATTTCACCCCTGAGTCTTCTCCATTGTTCCGTCCTCCTTAAATTTTTCTGAATTGGGGGCAACATCATCCTTGTGGCCATGAATGTCTCTACTATTCAAAGAAGAATCCCAACTGTATACTTCAAGGGAGTGGCCAGACATTTCAACCCCACACCCCCTTCCTAATTGAGTTTAAGTGGTGTAATGCAGTAGGGATAAGAGCAGGATAGTGGCCTAGTGGTGAAGACGCTTGTCGCCTCTCACTTGGAAGGCTGAGAGTTCAATCCTAGGTAGCAGCAGATATTCCTCTCCTAGGAGGCAAAGAAAAAAAATATCTGCTGTGAACTCTACATAGGCATCAAGAAGGGCATCCGGCCAGTAAATGCTCAGTTGCCTCCAGTCGCCCCAACTCTACCTTGAATTAAGAAATTACAGGCTCGTAAAATGCAGTAGGGATAATCTGTGAACCACATCTAGGATCACCAATACAGCCAAATTATTTGGTATGGTTTTGGGCTGTCTCAAGGAGGAGAATGTC